ATTATCCATTTTTTATCTTTTTTTATTTTTTGGTGCCGACAGCAGCTAGGCTACCAGCCGGGCCGCCCGGGTAACCTTGTTTGCCCGGGCGGGCCGGGCGTGTAACGACCAAAGGAGGTCCCAGCGAAAAAAAAAGAAAATCCGAAAATTCTGGAAAAAAAAAAATGTTATGCAGAAAAATAAACTGAACAACTTTTGCCTCACGGTCACATCGAATTCTTTACCAAATTTAAAATAAAAATAAAAATAGAAAACAATTTTATTTTATTGTTTTCATCTTTTTTGCCCCGGCCGGGAAAGTGGTCCCGGGCCACTCTGGTAGCCTAGACCAACAGTGATTATCATATTGATTACCGCACTTGTTATCAATTTCTTTTCTTGTCTCTTAAAAAAAAAAAAAAAACGGCGACTGCCTTTGAGATATCATCATCGAACTCCGATCTACATTTCCACAGCTCATGGGTGTACACACAACCGAGCTACGCTAGCCCTTGTAAGTACTGGTTATGGTATGTATCATCATGGTCATTGCCTATGGCATATTTATCATCATATTGAACTACTTCCTTCCTATAAACTGGGAACTGAGACATCCTCAGCCACTACCTACCGAAGCCATACGCGGAAAATCGAAAACCAAAGCCCGCCAAAACTTCAGTCAGCACGAAAAAATTAGCTTTTCACTACGGTAATCTTTAAGCAATGATGAAATCGAGATGGAAACGAAAACGCCCGCCAAAACTTTAGTCAGAACGAAAATTCTCTTTTCACTACGGTAATCTTTAAGAAATGAAATCGAGATGGAAACGAAAACCAAAGCCCGCCAAAACTTCATCCCAGACAAAGTTTTCTCTATTTTCTAAGTTCTGTCTATGTTCTGAGTTTTCTCTATTTTTTAACCCATCCTTCAGCCACGACAAGGGTATAATAGAATGATGAGTAGTTCAACGAAAGATGTGCGTCTCCCATCGACCGAGAGATAGACAACCAGAGAAACTACGGATCCCCTGAATAATACAAGTAATATCCGGTTGGCTGCGCAATACATATCGATTAACTGCTCTCCCCACTCCCTCCCCCCCCCGGTCAGTCATCGATCAGTCTGCTGCTCATCATCCTCCTCACAGGAAAAGGAGTGAGCGAGCGATCTCCGTCATCATCACCCTCATCCTTATCATATTCCACCTCCGTCCTCATTACCACCACCACCACCATAATCATCATAACCATAATCATAATCGTCACATCATCGTCGTCGACCTCCATCTGCATCAACCTCATCATCATCTCCTCATAATCGTCGTCCTCGTCGACATCCCCATCGTAAGCACTATCAACATAAGATTCGCCATCGCCGTCAGCTTCTAAGCTCCATTTCCATTGCCGTCTTCTTCCACACGACACACAGCTTCAGGTTCCGCAGAATCTTACCACACTCCGTTGCGCGAAACCGACCTCAATCCTTATCATCCGATGCCAATCGAGGCGATCACCCCCGCATCTCCTCCACGAATAACGTGGCAATCAAGCATTCCCCCACCTTCCTGCCGGCGGCGCCAAGTGCACAGAGAAACAGCTGTTGGTCGACCTCTCAGCGGAATTACATTACAGGAGAGAGAAGGGATTCGAACCCTTGACCTATATAACCTATACGGGTGTTGGAGATCATTTTGTTCTACCGTAGGTGAAATCTACAGACAGGTCCCGCCAACACACACATCAGCATAAAACCAGACGCGCGCTTCTTTTCGAGAGAGGCGACAAGAACCGAGCTTTCACACTGCAGGATCCATCGCCGCATACGTAAAAGGACGTGATGACGAGGAAGGATAAGCGAAATGACGTAGAGAGGACGTGATTAGTGGGAGATGGAAAACGACACGGCAAGCAACAACAGAAAGAAAAAGGGAGCAAGATCACAAGATCACAAGAAGCTGTAAGAGAGAGACTGGTTTAAACGCTGAGGATGAGATACGGAAGGTTGGGACTTACTTGATTGGTTGTCCTCCCTCTTTTTGGCGCTTCTCAGCCTGCTCCCTCTGAATCCTCTCGAACATGACGATACGATGCTGATAATACTCCTTCGATCCAAGAGTCAGGCTGACGGCGGCCATAGCTGCTGATGGTGGTCCCGGCTGCGCCGCCGTCCCATTGGACACGGAGTTGGACGGACCATCTTCCACCGCAATGCCCGCCATTTCTCTGTCCGTTGATCGCCTGGAAATTGAAATTGGAGTTCAAATTTCGACGTACAACGAAACGCCGTATGGCTTCTTCCTCCTCCTCTTCCTGAACACCAGAACGTCGGGCCGGCTTACTACGGTAGCTATGGCACGCTTACCTTCTCTCTCTCTCTCTCTCTCTCTCTCTCCCTCTCCCTCTCTCTCTCTCTCTCTCTCTCTCACACACACACACACACACACACACAGAGAAAGGCAGCTATGTCCGGCTGAAACAGAGTGCGGCGGCGGCAGGCCGAGGAGGACCGGAAGATGTCAGAGCTCAGCTCACCTTCCGACCCGAGCCACCGGCGGGAGCCGCTACTACAGTCCAAGGACCGCATCGACGGCTTGTGGCTCTAAGACACGAAGTCATTGACCGAAGCTGGCGAGGCTTTGCGCCGCGCAGGCGAGAAGACCGTCCGATTGAGCGCGGAGGCTGAGAGACCCCGCCGGGGGGTCTGCCGCAGGCCCAGGTGCTGTCACCGAGGTCCGGCTGCCGAATCACGGTGACACCACGCTTGTACACGCTTAGGCTTTCTAGGCAGCACCTGACCATATTATGGAGCCAGATTCGTTTCAAAAGGTCCACGGGACGTCACTTAGGCCTCTGCCAGGAGTGAGGAGTGGACCAAACTGAGAACATCCTGCGTACCGGTCCCTTTGTTCGAGTTACTTACCGCTGCACTGTCGGACTGGTTCAGTGAGAACATCTCGGTGTGACCCACCAGTCACAGTACTGGTTGGGCCTGGTCCCCAAGTTCAGCCTACTACAGTCGTAGCCCATGATTGAAGGCATACTCTTGCTAGCATCTGATGGCCAGAATACGGCCAAGTTGAGTATCTATGTGACCCATCCCTAAGCTATGACCAAACTTTCCAATAGCTTTACCTCTTTGCAAGGCAGCCAAACTACTGATCCCGTGACCTGCAAAACTTGGGGCCGTAAACTACTTACTATTTTCCGATCCGGAATGTGACATAATTATTCTCAAAGTGACAACAAGGTCTTATGATCAAGTGTTCAAGGTAAGGAGGTAGTTCACCTTATATAGGCAAGTTCAATTTTAAATTATGGTATGATGTCGCTTTTCTCGTGTTGTAGTATGATGAGGTTGTAAGAAATCCAGGCTTCACGGAGTCATTCTGACAATATAAAAGTGGATCCACTTTGAATAACAATAGTCTGCATTCTCTTATGCGCTTCTCCACTCGACCTGGATTTGCACCATACCATATTTGTATTTCTATCACGTCCTTTGTTACTTTTTTTTTCAAGTGAGGTCTCTAAGTATCTTAATACTTCATTATGCGAACTAGTACCCCAACTTGCACCCTGTAGCTTGTCATCAGCTCCGGACTCAGCACACGCCAATACATTACAGAAAACAAAGGATCTTCCAACTATGTATCAGCAATGTAAACATCCGTTCTTCGAAGAGCGAACAACCAAGACTAAGGAATTATTTATAATGAGAATAATTATGTTTCACATTGTCCAAACTTCATGACGAGTGGTGTTCATCAACATCAGTAATGATTATGTCAGAAGGTTGTAAAAGATAAAAGATAAGTTATTATCTTGAAAGTTTTAAGGGTATGGAAGTGAAGATCGATTCATGATTTTTTTTCAACGATTATTCATATTTTTTAGTCATTTGCAAACAAATAATCTAAACTTATTCCACGTCAATAAAATTATATTTCACAACTTTGATACTAGAAGCATCGAGCATCGCAATAATTAGATAAACCCCATTCAATCTTTTGAAGGGTTAGAAACACTCTCATTTCCACAATAATTTAATTACATTTTATGTTTATTTAAAAAAATATATTAGGCGGTGTTTTGAAAGACAACCATGTACATTCACTAATGTAGTGGAGGTATAGTATATTGCATTGACTAAGTTCCATGATGAATCAAAAATTTTCTAAGATGTTCAATTTACAGGCTAAAATCACCTTGTCATAGGTTTTCTCTATATGTCCAAGAGAAACACCACCATCTCCCTTCCCTCTGCTGATCAGTTTTCGGACTTTCATAATTTGTAATATGTTTTTGTTTTTTTTTTTTCACTCTTTATTGTAAATCAAGCATCAACCACACAAGCCTCATAGTCAATGTCTTAGCCAAGATCCTGTCGGATACATTAAATGAATAAATTTGTCTCAAATTCCACATATCCCGCTTCTCTCTCTTTTTATAAAGCAAGGTTGTTTTTTTAACAAAATATTTTTTACGAAGTGTGTCAATAAAACATCATTATAAAGATATTAAAAAAAAGCAAGTAGTGTTTTGTAAATAAGTCACCGAGACCCTTAAATTTATCCTTTATCGTTTGATTTAACCACGAATTATAAAGGCATCAATAAATTAGCATCAATCATATAATCTCACATAAATAATATTACATAGGCTTAACTCAAATGGACTGATGCAGATGGATTAATTTAAATGGATAGACTAAAGTGAAGGACCTAAAAAAACAATAGTCAAATATCTTCAAGTAGATGGTTTAAATTATATGAGTTTAAAGGAATTACCTCACATAATTCAATCTCTTTACAAAGTTGAACATATATAAGACGGTTCAATGTAAATCTCAACTCTGTCACGCTTACTACACTTAGGACCAGAAATCTCATTTGCAATCAACTGCAATTGGCATACCAAGTCACATTACTTTTTTTTCCGATTCATAGGACTTCTAACTATATAGGTTTTCATTCACACCATTCACACTTCTCACTTGCCAATACTATTCACAATTTTTTTTTTTTTAAATCCTAACTCATTACATTTATTTGTCACACCACATGTCCACAGACAAATGCACCATGCACGTATGACCGATTTTAACGTATCTATGGTCAAACACCCTAATCAAACTTAGAAAACCCAGAATAAAATCTTTCAATGACGTTCATTAGTCAATATTTGCCCCAAACCACCTGCTTGTCAATAACTCGAACTAAACAACAAGGGTCTATTAGCAAGGTGGACAGGTCTCTTCCTAACCTAAGTACCTCGTAACGCAAACATATTATGACACTGTCATAACAACTCTGGTAGCCTAACTGTTTTGACAAGTATTAGCGAGTCTTGTTTCGGTAAGGGGCGCGCATAGCGGCATCGACATAAATAACGGTAAATTAACGACATAAGATATACAGAGTATCGACCGACGTACTTATAATACACAATTCGCAAAGCTTTACAAGTAGCTGACATTATGGGTGTCATGGTACACATATACTGCGACATTACTAATACACACATTCATACTCTTACCTAATTTAATACGATTAATGAACCTATCACCCAATTTTTAACACATTCATCTGATGAAATTAAAATTGTAATTTTGCTTGGATCATCAGTCTGCCAACGACCAGAGATCGATCATTAGGACCCTGGTAGGCAATCGAGATCTTCAACCACGGCGCCACCTATTGAGCGCATCGATCCAGCTTGGGGACCCTCCTGGTCTCGTCACGCAAAATTTTAACAGTCGAGGCGCAAGGCATTATAAAAGAAGTGTCCCTCAAAACTGTTGACTGAAACTCGGGTTTGACAATAACATCGATAACCAACCTCGACGTCGGTCATAACAATGTCGACCTTTGCGCGTGCACTCACGACGCATGCGATCATACTAATCAAAATTTAATTATCTCGCTAATTCATATTGTTGTGCGGATCACTTGTCACAACGTCAGTTCGCGAAACTGTCAAACTTTAGGTTAAACAACGAGCGCCCCAAAATGCACGCCCACACACTCTATGATCGAATCATATGTGTACTTATAATTCAGACTGTTAAGAAGGTTGTGAATTGTGCAAAGTAAACGTGTTACCGTCGCAATTATCACTGCAGATGCGACTCATGTGATATGCAAAAACACGAATAAATATCCTTGTAAGGTTATTTGTGTTGATAGGGGGAGTAATGGTTTAAACCATAGCTACCTTTTTTAGTATCGAAAAATATAGGAATATATTTCGTAGAGCACTTTACCACAATCTCGATGAGAATGGGTAAAAAAAAATGTTTGAAACCTATGAAGCAGTTCATTGAAAGAAACAATCAAATTAAAATGTGAGGAAAAATTGTGAGAAAGTTTGTGACTAGACTTAGAAAATTGCATATCACCGTTATTGTGTTTAGTTTCAAATGTATTTTTTTTGCCCTTTCTTTTGTTTTTTTGTTATGTGCCTTGCCCCTCCCAACGAGGATGGGCACTATCCATGAAATGATGGAACGAATTTATATAGGAAACACTCATACTACTTTTTTATAAAATATATCAAAATATATTTTAGTCCAAAACTTATTTCTTTCCCCCCTTCCTAATCCCAACGACGCGGCTATAATATACTCACTAAGAATCTACTCACACTTGTATACTAACGCATGTGTCTAACCATATTTCAATGCAAAGTCCTCCCCCCTTTTTTTTGGATCCTTACGACCCGGTTGTAACCCCCCACTTCCTTTTCATGACGACGAAATTGTTTCTCAATTTTTCTTTTTTTTTTATATTTATCTATAAAAAAATATAATTTTTGTGTAAGTACCATCCCCCCCCCCCCCAAAAAAAAAAAAAAAGTTCGAAAAAGCGTCAAAAAAAAAATGATCGAAGGTAATTGTGGTTTAATAGCATGTTATATCAATAAAAAAGATAAAAGTAACGATTAAAAAAAAAAAAAACATTTCACAGTTTCTCTTTACCTTTATAATTGTTACTTTGTACCATCTATTATTTGAATAACAATGAATACACTTTCTTCGAGTCATTCAATGACAACTCATCTGATGAGTTCAGAGCACATATGTTGCCACTTCCTTCATATTCGAGACAGAATAGACCAAAAAAATTCCTTAATTATTAAATATATATATATTTTAAAACAAAAATAAAAATCAGTGTATCAACCTTACTACATCGTGGGGTCTTCTTTGTATATATATTTTTAATGTCAACAAAAGGATAATGCACACTCATAATCGAACAGAAGACAATGATCAATTGTTGAGACAACTGATACTTTTGAATGACATAGACAATTAAAAAGCATAATGTGAAACTCTTTCAACATGGGTTTGTTCGGCCCAAATAAACCTTAAAATTAAACTAATTTTTTAATAGCATTTTAAAAAGATCTTAAATAGTTTTTATTTTTTCAACAAGGGAGTAGAGAAGACGCATTCTCTTATACTCTTTAAAGCACATGTACTTCTCAAAGTCGTGTCCGTAAACCACCCACGATTTTAGA